CGTTCCTTACAAGACTTTTCTACTGAAGGAAAATATGATGAATGTGTAGAAAAGGGAAATGCCGCTTTAAAGACTGAATCAGAAGTTCCACGTTTAGTCCATTTTATTAAATCCAAACTGTGTTATTGTCATAATAAAGTAAGTATGTTTTTGTTATTAAATGTCTAAACATCTTAATTAATAATTTTATTTGCACTGATTTTTTTTATTTTTATAGGCAGGACAAGTTAATAAAGCTATTGATATATGTACAGAAGCACTTAAATTATTCAGTGAAGATGTAAATGTTCTTTGTGATCGTGCTGAGGCTTATACTGCTTCAGAATTATTTGATGATGGTAAGATTTTTTTGTTTGTGTAATCAAAATAAATTTTCTAACTTTTAAAAACAAGCTTACTAAATAAACATACTGATTTTTTTAAACATTTCATCATGTAAAATAATTAAGCTCTGGATATATTTTAAATAAAATGACTAATGACGAACATTTTACTAAATATAAGTAAAAAGGTTAATTATTATAATATATACACTAATATTGTGTCTATGTATAAATATAATAATAAATTTGAAAATCAATAAAAATAAGTTTTACATTACTAAGTTTTTACATTTAATAAAATTAATTATCTAGGAAGTAGGTACAATGAAATCACGATAAAAACTTTGAATTCTTTAATTTTATCAGATAGTTTATAATTTAACAAATAAAAACTTTCCTAAAATAGTTTAAAGTGATAAACTAGTTTTTGAGCATATTTAGTAATAGACTATATCATTCTACTATATTTGGAAATATTCTAAAAATTAGACTTTCCTCAATATGATGATTCTGGAAATTGCATTATATAAATATTTCATGAAAATATTTCTTTGGCTTTATAAAATGTATTTTTTTATATAGTGGAATCATACAAAACTACTATGTAAAATATAACAGAATAAACACCTCAAAAAGCTTTTTTTTAGCAACAAGAAAATAAATCTTTGTTTAAGTAATGTGAATGTTTTCAGTCATTTTAAATGACTGCTGTTAGGCAACCAAAAATTGAATACAATAAAATATGTATTTACTAATGTACAGTTTTCTTTCCTTTTAATAGCTCTTCATGATTATCAGAAAGCCGCGAATATAGATGAAAATTCTCGTAGAGCACATGATGGCTTAAAGAAAATCCAGAAATTAATAAAACAATCAAAGAAAAGAGATTATTATAAAATACTGGGAGTCAAAAGGTAAATATTATTCAGATTATTTAATATGAGTGGTTTACTTGAAATTTCCATTTTTATGTAATTAAAACATCTAATTAATGGTTCTCTTTTAAATTTTCATGACTAATTTATTTTATAACAGGACGGCTGGTAAAAGAGAAATACTGAAAGCATATCGTAAACTTGCTCAGAAATGGCATCCCGACAACTTTCAGGAGGGAGATGAAAAGAAAATTGCCGAGAAAAAGTTTATTGATATTGCATCTGCAAAGGAGGTCCTCACTGATCCAGGTAAATTACATAATCATAAAAATGATGCCTTTATTTATCTAAAGCAAATAATTCTTATAAATAAATATTTGAATTTTTAATTTAAAAATCATAATTGTAAATGTAAAATTATTAATGATGATTTTTGATATCATTGAAAAGTTATGCATGCTTAGAATAAACTTTGAATTTTTGATCAGATAGATGATCAAAGATTTATTGGTCTACTTTTTAACGTTACTTCAAATCAGTATGTTTATATTTTGAATTTAGAAAAGAGGCAAAAATTTGATAATGGAGAAGATCCACTTGATCCTGAATCTCAGCAAGGACAAGGTTTTAATCCATTTCAAGGATTTAACCCATTTGGACATGGAGGAGGACCTTTTACTTTTAAATTTCACTTCAGTTGAGTGTTTAGTGCTTAAATGTACACAAAACAGAGACATTTTTTTAAAAAGAACAATTTCATAAAATTATGATAATTGAACTTTGCCACATCCCAAAGAAGTGCCTACAATTGGACTTGATACAGGTTAAAGGAGATTAGTTTTTTATTTAACAAACTTTCACTTACTCAATGGAAAATGAGAGCTTTCCATTCTATTATTATCTGTTTTTAACTGATAATTGAATTATTAATAAATAAAATTATATTTATTGAAATAATTTAATTCTAAATTGATGTAAGTTTGTTAAATAAATTATGTCTCCATGAAAAATTCCGAAATTCCTAGTCGTGAGATTCAAAGTGAAATCAAGCAACATCATGAAAGGAAAAATTGTTTTATTGACTAGGATCATTAATATGCAATCAATTTCTGGTTACCTCAGCTTCTTCCAAATGTCATTTTGTTGATGTTCACTCATATTTAAGAATTTAGTTTGTGCCATTTGTTTAAAACAAAGGAAAATACTTTTTGAAAGAAACTTGAAACTTAATCATGTTTTAGAATATAATTGAAATGATTATCCAGATAGCAATTTGTCACATTTAAAAAAACACATAGTATTTTCTGTAAATAAATGTGTATTGTTCTGTGCACATTCATCCATATGTATAAAGAACTTTCATTAAAAACTCTTCAAAGAATGCAAATGAGTCATTATAAATTTATTTAATTCAAAGTATTTAATATTGAATCTATGCCAAAATTTAATTTTGAGTTTAAAACTAGTCTACAAATATGATTTTAAGAAATACAGTTTTACTTTGAAAATTAAACAAAGTTAAACTTTTGGTTTTTCATCAATTGCTGTCATAGCAGATATCTCTGATTTGACATCACTACTGTCTGTTACAGTGGCACAAGAAAGTGATGGAAATTTCTGATAAAGAGCTGCCCTGTATTTAGGATGACTGATTCCATATACGATTGGATTGTAACAAGCATTAGCTTTAGCAAACACAGATCCCCAAATAGTTGCTAGAGGTGTCAGATGCACTCTATTGCTGAAGATTCCAGACCAAGCAATAGATAGATAAGGTGTCCATGCCATGAACCATAATCCAACAGTCATCATTGCAATCTGAAGAAATGAATTATTTAAATTTTGTATTTTAACTGGTTATTTAAAATTTTTAATTTTCTTACCTTAGCCAGTCTAATCTCTGCACTCTGTTTTTGTTGATCCACATTGGCACGCAGAGAAGCAACCTTCATTTTTTTTGCCTGTTCTCGCAGTGTTTTCTCATGTTTTGAAACGGCTCTGACAATGAAGAAATAACAGTATATCATAGACACCAGTGGCATAAAGTACACTGCACAACCATAAATAACAACATAAGAAGCAGAATGCCATTTTCTATTTAGATAGTCTAAAGTACAACTTGTCATATTTCCCTCTGGGACATACCTATAAAAAGAAAAGACAATCAATTTCCAGGACTAAAAGCTTTTAATAATAATTTTACTTACCTATTCCATCCAAAGAAAGGTAGCAAGGTCCAAGTAACAGTCCAAGTCCACACAAACATTATCATTAAGACTGCCTTTTTTGTAGTCAGTGGACCAGCAGCCATTCCTCTTACAATAACATTATACCTGTCCAGAGATATCATGACCATGGTCCAGATCGACCCACATCCAAAGAGAGAACCGACCATTCCGTACACTTCGCACATGAAAGGACCAAGAATCCAAGTTTCAGCAAAGCAGTTGGCTGCCATGGTTGGCATCATGAACGCCATCATGCAGAAATCGGAGAAGGCTAAGTTGACTATCAGCAAATTGGTAGGTGTTCGCAACGTCTTGGTACTCACCATCAGATAGATCACCACTCCGTTCCCCGCAATGGAAATAATGCCAAGCACCACCATGGCAATACCCAACAAACTATGCCACAGGGGATTGATGGGCGGAAAATTATACCAGTGTTCATCTATCATGTACAGCATGTTGTCGGGGACCGAATCCACAATGCTGGCATTACGCCGATAGGGATCGCCCAATGCCCCAGAGACAGAGTTGCCAAAGCTCAACATGATAGAGAAATCTGCAAAAAAAAATCCAATGCCCTTATAATCCAAAGAGGTTCTCTTATCCTCACCTTGTAACTAGCAGACAAGAACCTGCGCTGCCAGAAAAAAGACTGTAGAGAGAAAGGAAGAACCTATCTTTGTCTCAGTTTATATACAATCGATTTTGCAGGATGATTTAAGAGATTATTGCACTTGTTTGGCTTCGTGAGATATTAATCGAAAGAGATTAAAACGATCTCTCCAAAATATTAACAATTAATGCAAATCAAAAGCGAAAAAATCAGAAAAAACTGTTAAAATTTGAAAATTATTATTTTATTTTTATCTTTTAATTTTAAATTCATAAATCAACTTAATATGTATATAATATTAATTTATGTAAAATTTTCGATACTAATATCTATAAATAGTTTTGTTATTGACAAATAGGATTTGACATGTAACGATTAAGTGAGACCCTACAAATCATAAAGTACTTTTTTCTTAAGAAGAGCGAATGTCAATCAAAATCGGTCTTAAGATTTCACTTTTCATCTGATATTTACATTTAAATGAAACAAAAAATTTTGAAGATAATTTTTTTCCTGTTGAGTACTGAAGGAATGCAACTCTCAAAAGAACAGCGGAGAGAGATAAATTGCATTGTTTTTATATAAATTAAGCAATTACGAACTTAAAAATTTCAGCTTTTTAACCTGGAATCAATCAATTTTATTAATATAGAAATCAGATTGTCAGGAAACTTGCTAGCTACTGTACTTAAATCACATTGTCAGTCTCGAAAAATTCTAATTTTTTAATATTATAGCTATGAATATGCGAGAAGAAAATTTGCCATACCACTAATTCTATTTTTATTGTAAATAATTTATTTCAAAGTGTTAAAGAAAAAAATGGGAATAATTAAATAAGGCGCACAAATATAAAGGTGTGTATGTAAGAGTATGCAAGATTCAATACCAAACATGTCGATTAAATTTATTTATTACATTTAAAAAATTTTATGCAATTTTCCTTATGACTCCCTTTTATAACTTTAACTGGTGTCGTATGTATGTGTATATATAATATATATATATAATCCTTATATTCCATTTTATCTGATTAAAAGTAAAAAAAAAAAATACATTTTTGATATGGAAATATTGATAAACAGCAGCATTATATAGTAAATTTTCTAATTTAAATATAAAGATTATAGATAATTTACAGTATATTTTATTATTTAATATGTTTAATTCAGTCTTTTAAAGTTTAATTAATTAAAATATGCTTGGCACATTTAATTAATCGTTCCAATGCATCGTCACCAGCGTGAAATTAACACTTTCTGGCAAATAACTTGTAACCTTTAAAGCGCTCGGTGCGAATGGCAGAGTTGATATTTTAATGCCATTTTTAGAGTTTTTTAAAATTTATTTATTTCGCTATTAATTTTAGACAAATATTAAATAACTTAAACAGTTCTTTTAAGACGGTATATTTGAATTACGTTCTTATTTAAAAGTTAAAATATTATTTTTATACATTAATTATATAGGCCTGTTTGTGTGTAGATCTACTTTTTTTTTAATTAAACGTTTTCAAATTATTATTTCATTATTTGATTAGTGGGTATTATTTAAACAGCGTTATGTACAGGGTGCCTCTCACCGGGAAAATATATGAATAATGCTAATTCGTTTCTCTCCATAACATCTCAAATATGTACTAAAATTACTGTGCATATGCAATTTAAATATTTAGGCCTAAAACGTGGTAATAGTGTACCTTTTTAACATCATATTTTGATTAATCGCGAGGTACGAGGAAAAAATTTTTTTAATCTTTGCCATTTTATTTTAAATGCTAATTTGATCGAATTTTTTTAATATGGGATGCATACCTTCGAAAATATCGGAGTCTGAAAATTTGTCTGACGTTTTATTATAATACTAGCAGATGAGCCCGGCGTTGCTCGGTCAAAGAGTGACGATAGCGAAGATTAAGATTATTAGATTATAGCCGATCTTACCCGTTTTCACCGGGTACAAGAATTGGGTTCGCCCTCTTCCGAGACTAATTAGAGAATTTTTAGATGGGTCTAAAAATATGTTCGATTTCACAGAATGCAAGAATTGGGTCCCCTTGTTTCCAGACTAATTAGAGAATTTTTAGATGGGTCTAAAAATATGTTCGATTTCCTGCAAAACCGCATCTAAAATAGTACAGTAGAATCACAGGGTAATCCTTAACCCTTTCCCTCGAGAGGGAGAATTTCGAAAAATCCCTTAGTGTACTACATTCTCATGACTGCACCAAATTTCAACTTTCAACTCCTAACCGTTTGGACTCTGCTCTGATTATTATCATCATCAAACCATCTCGATTATAAGATGGGTCTACAATTGTTCCCAAATTGTAGACCCATAAATTCCCACTGTCGTCCGTCTGTCTGTCCTTCCTTAAACTCGAGAACGAAGTTAAACAAATGAAAGTCGAGACCAGATATGGAAACCTTAGGGACAGAAGGTCCCGTAACTTTCGGTTTGTACCGGAAGTTACGTTATTTCAAAAAGTTTCCCCTGAAAGGAGTTAGACTCTATTGTTAACAAGTAAGGTATGATGTACTGTACAAGGGCAGAAATAGAAAATTCAAATATTAAGTCAGTTTGTGAAATGCAACAAAGAGAATTAAAAAAAAAAAAAAACTATTTTTTAATACATTATAACATGTTCTTATTCTGGAAATATTAAATATAAATTTCTAAAATAAGTTTAGTTTGCATGTTCTTCCTCACGAATTAGTGTTGCATAATGATACGAGACAGAAAATGGAAAAATAAAAGTACGTTGGAAAGTCCTCGAGACCTCATATCATAATCTTTCCTGAAATGCGGTCCGGGTTATTCATCACACACTTATCATACCGAAGAACATTTTGTTATTAAAAATATGAAAATTTTATGCTTTATTTAAATTGCAATAAATAATAAATCTGTTAAATTTCTAAGGATTCTGAATTAAAATTCTAATAATTAATATAAGTATTTAAATTATCTGAAAAGAAAATAATTGAGAAATATTTTTTCGATTTTAAGCCAAAGTAACAATTACTTACTCTCCGTTTGTTACAAATTTTTCATTGTGAAGAATGCATTTTCAGTTTTTCTTTCCATCGCGATGTATTTCTTGATTACTTTCACCTGATAGTGTAAAGTTTCACGTGAAAGGATTTCAATTAAAAGATAATTGTAAATCTATCTTCAATATTCAAAAAACTTATAATTATTTTTAGAATTTTTCAATTTTCAGGTCACAAGAGATCCAAAAGGGACGTTTGTTTACATTTTTTAACATTCAATGATTAATTATTTATGATTTCAATTCATATATCAGGTGACGAATCAATCGAAAATGCTTTAAGGACACGTACATGATCGTCATTTTAGTGTTTTAGATTTGCTGATTGAAAACTTTGTAGAAAATTGGATTTGCAAATTGCACTAGAATATCTCAATACTTGATTATAGAAGAAAATCCTGTTCGATTGGATATATTTGTCTGTCTCATCTCTTTAAATTGCAAACAATGTACAGAATTTTTAATTTCAATTGGAAAGTGCTTCAGCGTCGTTGTGCCATCAATGATAAAACTCGTGCTGTTTACTTGGATATGGTGTACCAATTCCAATTCCATAACATTCTAAACGTATGAATACAGAATTTCCGACATGATTTCGAATATATCAACAATATTTGTATTTGTAGATGTGATGATTCCAGTTTTTCCCGTAATGGCGATTCTGCCCAGTCATTACGGTGTTTCTGGCCAAACAAAAACCCGAGGAGGAGGGTGAGACCTTGACGATGGTTCCGTGGCTTCCTACAGAATTAATATTATGTGACTAACATCACCCGGCAGAATAATTTGAAGATACTGTATAATTGAATTTTTTACGTTGTACTTTTGAAAATGTTCTTTAGCTTTAGCAATATTAATTTCTTAAGAAACTTCTTAAGCCATCCAATATATTACATATAACATAGGTTACAGGAAATACAGAGAACACGAAAAATCATCTTTCTTTTCTGCATTTGGCATTGTAACAAGATAAATAAATTAAAAAATTATTTATAATTATATAATTCATCGACATTTTAAATTTATTCTTAGGGCTCTAATAAAATGCAAGCCTCGATATAGTCTATATATATATAATCGAGATGGGTTGATGATAATAGAGGAGAAGGTGGTATTATGGAACACTGCGGGTATTATGGAACCACCCCATTTCGAACTGATAATAAAGGCGAACTGTAGCGGAATGTGGATGAACTGAACTAGGCAGACATCCATAGCAAGGGGAAAGCCCGTTTTACTTCAGTTAAACGGTTGTCCGTATTTAATCGGCAAATTTGTTTTTTTCAAAATTCACAAGTTTTGAATGCTAAGTGAATTTAATTATTTTTAAAATATAAATTGCGTAGTTGTAGGTTCACTGGTGCACGTATTCCGTTCCAGAGACTTAGGGGTACATATTAATCTGTGTGATGTTCACGTTTTTTAAATTTTGGTCTCGACAGACATAAGTTAATTCGAGATGGCGATGCGTGAAATACGGACCCCTTTGGTGCTTTTACAGTAATATGGAACTCAACTCCTCCGAACTCTCTCTTTGCAATCAGACATTCGTCCGGAGCAATTTGGGAAAAAGACACTAGGTAGAAAGTCTGAAAATATCGAAAAAGAGCTGCTGGAATATATATTGTTGATGGAGGTCATATTTTTCTATTATAAAAGCATTTTTGCGATAAAATACATTGGAGTAAATAATTTTGTAATTATTTAACATTTTTTGTCTTTTCCTATTTGTTTTTGGCTACATTAAAGCATTTTTTTGAAAATATACAGTAAGGTTCCATATTACCACCCGATTTTCTCTAAGCCTACTTTCGGACTTTTTGTACAAAAGCCTTCAAAAACCATATTTATAATTACACCAGCGAAAAATCCAATTAGGAACATTTAGTTTACTAGTTACCGGTACTTTTCGCAGAAAAAATGTGGGTGTAGTTATGATACCTTGTTTACAATTCACTAAAATATAATTGGGGTTCCATAATACCACCTTCTCCTCTAATAATATTATTATTATTAATCGTAGATCCCAAACGGTTAGGAGTTGAAAATTGAAATTTGGTACACAGGATACGTCATGAGAATGTACTGTACACTAAGAAGGGATTTTTGAAAATCCTCCCGCGGGGAGAGGGTTAAGGATTACCTTGAAGAACTCT